CAGCGAACGTTGCTTTTCTCAGTCACAAAGGCCATTAAGAACTCCTGGAAGTGGTGGATGCCACACAGTCCATTAGCAGCTGGATGTTAACGCTGCTCTCTCCCTCCTTCCATCCCCATAAATGTATTTCTCTCCTCTAATATTTCCTAAGAGGCTCCTGTGGCACAGATTTCCCCTTGTACATCTCTCCTCAGCCTCAGAACAAATGAGAGTGGCTGGTCTCACTCAGAAACTAAAAGTTTTCAGGTAGTTCTCTGCGGAATGATGAAATATCCCACAGGTTCCAGAAAGCAATTGGTAAATACAGGCTCCTGCTTCCATAAAAAGCAATTTATTAAACACAAATGTTCGGCAATGTGAAGTGTTTTACTGCTGCAAATTCAATACTGCTCGAAACACACTCTGAAGTCAATAACCCAGCAGTAAAAGCAGCAGCACACACACAAATGCCTCATCTTATTCCACAAGCCACCATTTCCTCCCACACAAAATTCCCATCAAAACATCAGCTTCAAGTTCTTACCTGAGCTGTCCAGCTGAAGAAACAGCAACCTGTATTTTTATTTTTATTTATTTTTTTTAAATAATTCCTCAGCACTTAAATCCCTTTTCATGTATATTGGATGTTTAGGAAGAGAGAAATAGTCTTCCTGGGAAAGAAAAAAAAAATCACACAAATAAATCATGCAACAGGAAAGCTCATAAATCTGCATTTATATTGGAAGTAAAACTGAACTCACCAGAGGTGATTTACTGCCTCTAATAATGAATGTGACTATTGGGTCCTTAGATTTTCATTAGTGTGGTGAAAGAATTTATTTTATGTGCAAATATTTAAATACTCATAGAAAGCAAATGTAAAAATATTGCAAATATTAAGCCTTCAATTACTTCGAGTTATGTGAAAATTCATTGAAAAATAATTTCCTGCCTGCAGAAAAATAGATTGTCAAAATCTGGGGTTTCGGCTCTGCCCGGGAACCCGAGGAGTTTGATGGCTTTGTTTGGAGACTGAGGAAAGCTGAGCATTTCCCACAGAAACGGGCAGGGAGCAGCTGAGACTTGGGACAGGACAAGTTTGGGGATTCCTTACGAATCATTGTTAAGGCTGGGGAAGATCTCAGAGTCCATTGCCAGCCCTGCCAGGCCACCACTGCCCCTGTCCCCAGGTGCCACCTCCACAGGGCTGTAACTCCCCCCAGGGATGGGCACTCCAGCCCTGCCCTGGGCGGCTGTGCCAGGGCTGGGCCACATTTCCAGTGACAAAATTCTCCCTAATATCCAACCCACGCCTTCTGTGGAGAACCTGGACCAACTCTTTCCTCAGAACGAGCAGAACCCGTGACCTGCTGATGGGCTGGGGGAGAGCAAAGGTGAGGAGTGCCTGCTGTCACCAAGGGTCCTGGATTCGTCCTTCCCTGATGGATGCCAGGATGAGGAGGGCATGGAGCAGGGCCAGAGGAGGCCATGAGGTTGGTAAGAGGACTGCAAGACCTCCCCTGTGGAGCTGGGAGAGCTCACCTGGGGAGGAGAGGGTGTGGGGAGCCCTCCCAGAACCTTCCAGGGTCTGGGGGATCACAGGAACCCTCAGCAGGAGCTGACGGGACAAGGAGCAAAGGGCACAAAGGGAAAGGGGGAAATTTAGCTGGAGATTTTGGGGGGGATTTGGGGTCCCTCCCAACCTAAACAGCTCCATGATTCCATGGTGGAGGAAGATGAAGGAGAGCCACAAACACCCTGAGCTGCTTCACAAAATGAACAACAACGGTCCCAAGAGTCCTGCAGGCAGAAGATCCAAGATCAGACATTTCCCTGCAAGACAAAGCAGAAAGCCCCACAAATGTTCTCATTTCACATCTCCCGTGGTCACACCACAACCACCAGGACACAAAAGCCTTTTTTTTTCCTCCAGATGCAGAATTCTGGTGATTTGGAACCATTAGAGTTCAGCTCAAGCCAAAAGTAATCTTAATGGCAATGAAGGTTCAGCTCTTCCCTCTCAGCACAGGAGGACGGGAGAGAATTCCTGTTGGGTTTATGTGATTTGGGTTGATCACTCTGTGCCTACTTACCTCAAACAGCCAGCTGTGAGCTGTGATGCTGCTTTATTTTTCAGAGCTTCAATAAAGAAAATGCTGCAATTTTGTAAATTATAGCCCCGCCATCGATAGCTCCATTTCCAACGTGCTTATCTTATCTTGTGCTTAAATCAAATCAAACACTTCCCCTAACAGCAAACCCTGCAAAAACCCGACAGGACAAAATGCAGAGGGAAATCTGAGATGTGATTTAACTTGATTGCCAAAGGCACTTGCCAAAAGAGGATAAAGTACAAGAGGTTTGGTCCAGCCCTCCCCGAGGAGTTAGCACAGAATTCCAGCAATTAGGGAGGCAGATTTCCATCCCCAGAATTCCCATCATTTCCTCATATTTGGATATATAACAAAATGGGTGAGAAGGGACCTTAAAATTCATCCCATTCCACCCCAGGGACACCTTGCACTGTGCCAGGCTGCTCCAGCCTGGCCTTGGACACTTCCAACAATTTTCAGCTCTGAAATATGAGTTCAGAAGAGTCAAATCAACTCCCCCTGGATTTCCCAAAGAGCACCTCAGCAGCCTGCTCCCCTCCTCAGAACGTGCCTGGTCCCAGACTTGTGTCCAAAACAAATGTTGGATTTTGTGCTCACCCTCCATTAACTGCCACGAGCACCCTCACTCGGATGAAAGCCTGTTTATCCATTTTAATTGGGTATTAAAGTGTGTTTTGTGGCTACAGCCCAAACAGCAGTGGCGTATTAACTTACAATAGCTTTAACAACAAGAAACCCAACCCACCGTTGGCACACGGGCAATTATTCTGCAATTATCCAGAAATCACATTACCCACTAATTGCTCTGACAGGTGCCTAATTGCTTCTCTAAATAGGGGGTGAGGCTCTACCCCTGGGTTTGCTTGACCACCTTTCCTTCAAGCACTGAAAATATGAAGCAGCAGGAAGCAGATTTTGTTCTGCTGGGGGCTTTTCCCAGCCCAAATCCGCGTGCTGCTTCCTGCCCTGGGCACCCCCAGCTCCGTGCCACTCCCCAGGGGACAGCCTCCTGCCCCTGAGGAGCCAAAAGCTTCCCCAAGCCTACCCCAAAGCACCCATGGTGAAATTCCAGCAGGGTTTTAAGGAAATGGGGCTGGGAAAGGGACTTGGATGTGCCTCGGTGTCCTTGGAGGTCTTTTCCAACCTTAATGATTCCGTGCCTGGCACACTCCCAACCCTCCCTGTGTGAGCAGAGCTGTCCCAGAGTAAAACCTCCCACACCTACTCCAGGTGTAAACGATCCCATTCCAAGCAGAGAGAAACAAATATCTTTGTGTGTGTGTGTAATTTATCTCCTCTAATTTGAAGATCCTCCTTCTCCATGAGGAAAAAGCTAAGTTAGGAAGACACACACATGAGGAAGAGTCTGGTGTCTCTGACTGGCACTGAGTGATGAGTGTTGGAGATAATTGGCTGCAGAAATGAAGGCACTGGTGGAAAATGCTGCCCAGAGAGCTGACAAAAAGAGATTAAATACACTTCCATCCTCTACCATAGGTCTGTCTGGGAAAGGATAAACTCATTTCATAAGATCACGGGCTCATTAAGGTTGGAAAAGCCCCCTGAAATCAAACCCCACCAGCTCCCAGCACCACCCCCATGGTGACCATCAACCACATCCTCAGGTGGAGATGCCTGAGAGCTCCCTGGGACAGAGCTCCAGAATAAAGCAGGGATTGATTTATCCCCAGCCCCCACAGAACACACCTTGGGCAGTGCAGAGCATTATCCTCACAGCTGTTTGAGCCTGGAACCACAGCCTGCTTTGGGTGCAAAGGGACCTGAAATTCACCTTGCTCCAACCCTGACACCATCCCAGGCTGCTCCAAACTCCAGCCTGGCCTTGGGCACTGCCAGGGATCCAGGGGCAGCCCCAGCTGCTCTGGGAATTCCATCCCAGCCCCTTCCCAATATCCCATTTAAATCTCCCCTCTCCCAGTGGGAAGCCATTCCCCGTGTCCTGCCCCTCCAGCCCTTGTCCCAAATCCCTCCCCACATTTCTTGTTGGCTCCTTCAGGTGCTGAAAGGACAATCAGCCCCGAGCTTCTCCTCTGCAGCTGAACCATCCCAGTTCTCCCACCTTTTCCTCATAACAGAGGTGCTCCAGCCCTCAGATCAACTTGTCATCTGAACCATCCCAGTTCTCCCACCTTTTCCTCATAACAGAGGTGCTCCAGCCCTCAGATCAACTTATTGAAGGGAAAATTTAAAAAAAAAGCCTTAATGAGGAAATCAGAGGATTTGCAGGAATTAGCTGAAGGGCACTCGGGTTTCTTGTTAAGAGCAGCAGCTTTGTGGGAATGCCACAGAGTAAATGGCACAGCCAAGCATCATTACAGCGAAATTAATTCAATGCTACATTCCAGCACATCTCATTTGACTACTGTAAATCTCCTTCTGTGCCTCCTAGTAGTTATTTAATGAAAAACAAGCAAAAAATGGTGTATTGCTCTCATATCTGTCCCTACAGCTCCCAGAAATCCCAGGGCCACTGCAGCAAGCCTCATTCAAACATGACAAAAACACAATTTCTGCATCAAAGCGGGAATGATCTTCATCAATCCTCCTGCAGCCACTGAAAACACAGCATTTGTGCTTCTTATGACAAATAAATCTTAAATATTCATGTTCTGGCAAAATTTCTCTTCTTAAACACAAAATTAACTCCCCGAGTCCACGCTCGTTCAGACAATTGACACCTTCAGTGATTGAGGCCAAACAAATCACAGAGGCAAAGAGAGCCTTGATTTAATGGAAAAGCTGTCTGCAAACAGCTTCTGATAAATCTGAAGTTTCTCAGGATTGTACCCAGTGCCCTTTAGCTGATTCTTCATAATTATAAGAGAGGTAACACAACGAAGATTATTTTGCCTCCTTGTTGTTGTATTTTAGTGCTTATCCCTTGTCCTGAGCCCATCTGCAGCCCTGCACTGTGCAATACCATTCCCCAGTTTGAGGATGAGCTGCCTGAGAAGAACTCTGTCCTTTGCTGTTAAACCTCAGTCCTCCCAGACTGGTAACCCACCCCAGATATTCTGTTTTAGACCAGAATATCTGCTGTGTTCCCTGGCAAATGGAGCCTCACCCAGGCACGTTCTGCCTCTGTACACAGCAGCAGCAGCAGCGTTCATCCCGAGCTAGCAGCCCATCCATCCTGCATTTTTTTTTTCCTCCTGTACAGTTTGTCAAGTCCCTCAAATGAAGTTTTACACGAGCTGCTCAATTTCTGCACAGCAGACCAAAGAATCTGTCTGGAACAGGCTTGAATTGCAGCACTCTTGAATGAAATCTTCATTCCCTGGGAACGTGGAGTTCTTTTAATGAAAAGCAAAACCAGGAGGGACTGGGACCTGGGCACATGGGGAGAAGGAGCTGGAAAAGGGTCACACAGGCAGCAGGAAATAAGGAAAAGTGCAGAGCCAAGCCACAGACATGCACAGGGAATTCCTGTTTCTTATGGGATCATCCCCCATTTCCCAAGTGAATGAAAACCCTGCTGTACCTGGGAGATCATGGATGCCTTCAGACTCTGGGAAAGGTGGAAAATCCCTCACAGGAACACCCGGGATCATGAGAGGAAAATCCCACAGCAGGGGGGGCACTGAGTGGGGTTTGAGGTCCCTTCCCACCCTTTGGAATCACTCACCTCAGACTGGAATGAGCCTTTCCAGAAGTTTGCCCATCTTCCATGTAAATTATCCACAAATTCAAAATGTGCAAGTGAGTTCAGCTGACACAAAGACAAAAATATTTCTTCTAATATTTGTGTCAAAACTCTTGGGTACCCAAACTGAAATGAGCTGTGGGTTGCCTGGCATGGGCCTGAGCTGCAGGAAAATCGCTGTCCTCAGTGATTTAGGGTGAAAGGATTTAAATTTTGGTGAAAAGTCCTTCAGCAAACGAGTGCCAGGCCCAGAAGAGCAAACCAGGGTGACCAATTGTTCACCTCCTGCAGGTGAAGGGTCCGGACAGTTCTCAGACCCTGAACCCCAAGCCTTGAGAAGATTTCCCCGAGCAGCTCTCCCTGCCTGCCCACTGCAGAGTGTCGAGGGAAAAGCTGCAGAACTGACAAAAAGCAGCACCACAGAGCAAGATCTGCAGCGGTCAGAACGCTTGGTTTATCAAAGAGGGTGGCAGGGCCACTTTGATCACAGTTTAAGGAGCCAAAAAGGACAACAAAAACCTGCCGGAGCAAGTGCTTCATGCAGGCAGGAACACGCATCAATTTCCAGGGGTTATGAGGGGAAAAGTGCCAGAACCACAGAGGGAAAAGCAACTCTTGAAGCAAAGCTGTGAATAATTAATGACTGAAGGAAATTACCAAAGGTTCTCAGGGCTGCTCCACTGCCAGAGGTCTTTAACACAAGGCTGAGTGGTTTTTTTTTTACAAGAAATGTTCCAGTTCAGCCAGAGCTGCTGGACTGGAATTAGCTCAGGGAAATCCCAGTCTTGGGCACTGATCAAATCCTGACTGGATGGGCCTCAACTCCACACAAAACCCAAATTTCTACTGATTCGTTTTCAATGCTATTGGAAAACACTCAAAGAAGCACTCCAGGTACAGTATATTTCCATTAAAAATGTTATGGCTGATGCTGCAAACAGCCAGGGAACTTCATTGCTGCTGCCACAGGAGCAGTATTCTCCTTTTTCTCACAAATTCCCACTCCTCCAACTCCACCTCTGCTCTTTCCAGAGGGTTGGGGACCAGAGCTGGTCCCACCTAGGTAACAAAGGTAATTAACCAAAATAACAAAGATAATTAACCAAAGTAACAAAGATAATTACCGTGGTCAGGACGCTCAGGTTGGTGAATGATCTCCTCTTCCAGCAGGTACTCCCATGTCTCTCCCAGAGCTCCTCTGCTGCCCCAGCAGCCCAGCCAGGCTCTTACTGGTTTGGGATCCCCTTTCTTACTGGTTTGAGAGCCCCTTTCCCAGTGGGGGCTGCTCAATTAGCAGCCCCAGCCCACCCAAATTACCTGGCCCTTAATTGACTCATTAAGGCAATCACTGCTGTCATCTCCAGGCTCCTCACAAACAGCAAATTACTGCGAGCCTTTCAAGGCCATTCCTCAGGGCTTGCTGGGCTGTTTGGGGTGCTCGGGCTGCCTGGAATTCCTGGGATAAAAGGCAGAGCAACAAGTGCTTTGCCATCAGTCAGTGACTTCATTTTCCCCCGCTGAGTTCTAAAATTTGTCACTTAAACAAGCACTGGTGCTCCTGATTTATAGGAGGGAGGGTTTGGCCACAAAGATATTTCATCCGTGGGCAAATCTGCTTTATAGCCAACAATTTGTCAGGTTTCTAAGCCTCTGCCAAGAGCTGTTATTGATGGGAGGAGGCAAAACCAGCAAGGAGAAAACCAGCAAGATTTTGGCATCGCGCACCAGAAAAGTCACAGCAGCCATAAGAAAATTGTTGTCTGAGAGGAGCAAATGCTTGGGTGTGGATTTGCTCAAAATTCCAAAGCAGCTTTTGCCCAAAGAGGGGTTTCATGCACATCTTCCCAGGCAGTTACCAAATTACCACACAAATTCATCAAATCATAGAACCATGGGGGGCTCTGCAACTCTCACAGCTACAGAAATCTGTCTCCATATAGATAAATATTGCAGACTGTACCTTGAGCTTGGTATCCTCAGCCCCTTTTGAGGTCTGCAGGGCCCTGGAGTGGTGCCCCAGCCCCGAGCAGAGCAGCTGTGAGCCATCCCCAGGCCTGCTGAAGCATCTCCAGCTGCCAGTCTGGAGTCTGTCAGACCCCAGTCTGGAGTCTGTCAGACCCCAGTCTGGAGTCTGTCAGACCCCAGTCTGGAGTCTGTCAGACCCCAGTCTGGAGTCTGTCAGACCCCAGTCTGGAGTCTGTCAGACCCCAGTCTGGAGTCTGTCAGACCCCAGTCTGGAGTCTGTCAGACCCCAGTCTGGAGTCTGTCAGACCCCAGTCTGGAGTCTGTCAGACCCCAGTCTGGAGTCTGTCAGACCCCAGTCTGGAGTCTGTCAGACCCCAGTCTGGAGTCTGTCAGACCCCAGTCTGGAGTCTGTCAGACCCCAGTCTGGAGTCTGTCAGACCCCAGTCTGGAGTCTGTCAGACCCCAGTCTGGAGTCTGTCAGACCCCAGTCTGGAGTCTGTCAGACCCCAGTCTGGAGTCTGTCAGACCCCAGTCTGGAGTCTGTCAGACCCCAGTCTGGAGTCTGTCAGACCCCAGTCTGGAGTCTGTCAGACCCCAGTCTGGAGTCTGTCAGACCCCAGTCTGGAGTCAGTCAGACCCCAGTTTGGTGTCTGTCGGACCCCAGTGTGGTGTGAGACCCCAGTTGGGAGTCTGTCAGACCCCAGTTTGGTGTCAGACCCCTGCTCTGAACCTCCTCAAGGGGTTCAGCCCCTCCCAGGGAGGGCAGAAGTGGCACCCTGGCCATGAGCACGGTCAGTAACCAGTGAGGGACTGCTCCCCTGAAGAGGAAACACTCATTTTGGACAGGAGTAAATCATGGCAGGCAGGGCTGCACTCCTCCTGTCAGTATTCTCCTTCCATTTGCCCGGTTTTTGAGGCCAGCAGAGGCTGGGGAGGGAGAGGAGAGCCCAGAGGGGAAGTTCTGGGGGCAGGGGGTGAGAGGAGGTGGCCCTGGGGACAGATTGGCTGTGCTGTCACTGCTTTTCCTGGAGATCCTCAGGACAGATTGTGCCTCTGGGAGCAGAGGAGGTGGCCAGGGCCCCTGGGTGGGGAACACCAGCTCAGCCACCCTGGCAAATTGGTTTTCTGCTGCCAGACTGGCATCCCTCACATCAATTAAAGTGCTAATTGGAGGGACATTAACGACAGAAGCAGCAGGGCAATGCTGACAGATAATCCCAGTGCTGCTGGGGTGGCAGCCTGGCTTGGCACCCAGCTACTGCAGCATTCCTTTGCCTTGGAAGTCAAATTCTTGGGTTTTTGGAGCTACCTGTGAAGCAGAGAGGTCTGAACTCTATTAACTCCACACCTGACACGTTGTTTATAAAGGATCCTGAAAGCTTCATCCTTTATTGAAAGCTTCCTGCAGAGAGAAGAGCCCAAAGGGCTTTAAATCATGTCGTTATCAATGGAAATATCAGAAATAAAGGATGTTCTAACCCTGCTCACACCGCTCAAAGGGAGAACAAAGCAGTGAAGATTTGTTTAGGATTTCTTTCCCAGGATAATCCAAAGAAACCCCACAGCACCAGCAGGGCCAGGGTCTTCTCCTGGAACAGCAACACCAATAACCAAGGGCAGATTCACCCTCCTGGACAATTAGGGAAGTAAGAACAGGGGGAATTAGCACAGACATTCCCTAGGGACTTCTTCAGCATCCTAATTTTTGCAGCATAGGGATAAGAAGTGGTTCTTTAAATGTCTTAAATAACTCTGGGTTTTTTGCCCTTTAAAAACCGTAATGCTGAGTAAAAACTGTAAAACTGAGTGAGCAATGGATTCAGTTCCCCCTCCTTACCCAGGATCAGGAGTTAAGCAGAAGGTTCACAGTCATTGTGGCCATTTCTTGTAATAATAATAATAATAATAATAATAATAATAATAATAATAATAATAATAATAATAATAATAATGTCTAATGCCACTTCAGGAATTAGAGCTGAACAGATTCTTACTTTAGGAAAACAGCTGAAACTTTAATTTCAAGTGAAAATGAGGCAGGGTCTGGAGGGAGGAGATTTGCTCCAAGAATTAGACAATGCAGATCAAGCACTGGGGGAAAGCACCACAAAAACCAGAGTTCCAGAGGGCAAATGAGGCTGTGCTGGGCAGGGCAGCCCCAGCTCAAGGGCTCCTCTTTGGCAGAGCCCTTGGGGGGCAGCTGCTCCTGTGAGCAGGAACAACCCAGCCAAATTCCCCTGAGCCCTCCCAGCAGGCAGGAGCCTCCTCTGCCCTGGCACAGACACCCTTGGGACCACTGAGAGAGGAATTCCTCCATTTGACCAAGATTTCCATCTTTACATCCTTTCCTAAGCCCCACAAACAGCATCTAGCTGTGGCTGCAGGCAGCAAGCCTGGCCCGGGTTTGTCTGCTAATTCCAAGCCTAAGCAGAAAATTCCAAGCCTAAGAAGAAAATTCTAAGCCTAAGCAGAAAATTCCAAGCCTAAGAAGAAAACTCCAAGCCTAAGCAGAAAACTCCAAGCCTAAGAAGAAAACTCCAAGCCTAAGCAGAAAACTCCAAGCCTAAGCAGAAAGGCCACACCAGAACAGCCCCAAAATTCTGCCCCGCTCCCATCAACCCCCACCCAAATATTCCCAGCCTGCTCCATGGAAAAAATCAGCCAAGCAAGGGTGTAGTGATCCAGTTTTGCACTGTTCTCGACAATGCAAGGTCAGTTTGTAGCATCTGAAATGGTAAAAATAACAATGAAAACCCAGGAAGAAACACAACTGACATTTAAAGGGATTTGATTGATGCTGAAGCCCGTGGGGGAAAAACATGGAGATTCAGAGGGGGTAGGAATGCTGCTCACCAAAATAAAGACTTCGAGACTGAAAGGTCTTAATCCTGGGAAATAAAAGGGGAGGGGAAAAAAAAAGGGGGAAATAAATAAATAAAATTCCTTGGACTTTTGTTCCTACAGAAGAAAAGAATAATCTGACCCAATAACAAAAAGAGGGGGAAAAAGTAATGCTATTGAGGATGCAGTTTCCAAGCCCTAAAAGCCGTAATGCATCCCGTCTAGAAAACAAATTTTCTCCACAGTATTATAGGATTTGAGAGCAGAAGATTTTGTCAGTGGATTTGGCATGATGAATCAGGGAAATTGGAGACTGAGCCATCATTACATCCCCAGGCATCTGCAGGGAAATGGGAAGGAAAGGGGAAATGAAGAATTAGAGAAGCACCTCAGGAATGTTCAGGAAACCACAGGAACACGGAGTGAAAATCACTCTGGGCTTTTAGGGAGGGGGTATTTGGGAGCTGAACAGGCACAGGGGGGGTTCTGAGCCTCCCCCAGAGCTGGGGGGGAAATCCAGCACGAGTCAGACACCACAGAGAAAAAACGGCATAAAAGAAAAGACCTCTGGGTGTTTGGATGGATGCAACAAACTGAAGTCTCCAGAAATTATTAAGAATGAATCTGAAATAACTCCACCAGGTGCCACATCCACAGAGGTCTGAAATCCCTCCAGGGATGGGGATCCCAGCCCTGTGCACTGGGGCTCACCTGGGCACGGGGCAGAATTCAGAATTCCCCTTCCCTGCTGCCCAGCCCATAAAAATGAGGTTTTTATGTCGAGAACAGAAGGCTGCAGCACTGGGGCTCACCTGGGCACGGGGCAGAATTCAGAATTCCCCTTTCCTGCTGCCCAGCCCATAATAATGAGGTTTTTATGTGGAGAACAGAAGGCTGCAGCTCTTCCCCTGTGCCTGGCAAGAGCAGCTCCCTGAATTTCCCAGTTTCTCACCGTTGCCAGCCCTCGTTGCATTCTGCAGTAAATATCCCTCAGCCTGGACAGGATACCCCAAAGCTTTTAAAGGCAAACCAGCCGAACTGCCCGGGCATTCCCCCAGCACAGCAGCATCCCACCTCTCCCGCCTCCCTGGGAGCAGCTGGGCTGATGTTTCCGTGTTAAAAACCTGGATTTCGCTCCTGGAAAGGCAGAGGTGCTGTGGCTCTGCTGTCCCAGCTCGGCTCAGCAGGGACTGGCACAGGAGCACAGCCCAGGCCCAGCTGCATTGCCTCCCAACAGGGGCACCTTCAACGACACAGAATTGTGATTTATTTTCACTGTACCTGCAGAGACAGCTCTGTGTGCTCAGAGCCAGCTGAGGGCACTGGCTAGGGCAGCTGGAAATATTCCCTGTATCACCCAAAAAGCATTTGGAGCTGGAGGTGTTTGTTTTCATACGGAGAGAGAGAAGTCAAACTGCATCTGTGAG